TTATGCTCTAATAAATTTGTTAGTCTCTAAGGTGCCACAAGTACTCCAACCTTTTAAAGATGGCAATCTGATTGCAAGCCAATGTTAGTTGTATGTTACGTCATTAGCTTTGTATTAGTGTATAATTCAGAACTTTAATGGTGAAATCCTGATATTGACTTTTTTTTTTTTTTTTTTCTTAGCTAGTCAGAAATAACGTGGGATGGCTGGATGGCTCACAAGAGCTTATCAATGGGATAGGCATACTTTAACTAGTCACCACTGGTCAGCCCTGGTTTCAGTGGCTAATGAGGTTGCAGTCTCAGTCCAGCTCCTCCTAGAGGATGATGTCCTTATCGCAAAAGACTGACTGAATTAGAAAAGCACCCTGATTCAGGATAGTACTTAACTCACATTGTCCTGAATCATCGTTTTGATGTATATGATTAATAGGTATGTACCGCTGGATGAATAACTAGTTTCTCCAGATCTGAGGCATGTTGTCAAGGTAGTGTGGGAAGGCTTGAATTCTGGCCCTTATTCTCCAATCCTGATCTGCACAGGACTGATCCAGTTGCAGCATCAGAGAACTAATTGTTCAGTGGGCAAAACAGACCCCAGGTTTCCTGGACTAGCAGTTCTGCATTCCACTTATGTGAGCACTAAGCAACACACAGTTTTCCTTTAAATCACAAATGGTTCTAATTGGCAGTTCCAGCCAAGAAACTGGTTTATAGGGACCTATCAATATAGTATCTGAGGTATTGTGGCATAAAGATTAACCTCTACTTTGTCTTTCTTAGAAGTAGTCTTTTCAGATCAGGGGTGAAGCAGGGCAGTGTTGAGAATCTGTGATGCCCTTGATAGAGAACTTCACTCCCCACAGTTGTCACTGACACCTTTGCAGGGCACTAAATTTACTTCAAAATTAAAGGAAAAAATCCTACACTGCATTATAGATGTAAACATTTTTAAAAGGTTAGATTTCAATTGAAGATCGCCATTAACACAGACACAAATGCCTGGGTTTATCTGATTGTATCCAACATATATAGGACTGTGTCTGATCTCCGCATGCTTGGGTTCACTATAGTAGATTTCCAAGCTGTCAGCTGATATATCTTCTTGATGTTTGGGTAATAATGTGTGTATATTCACAAAGAATATGCTGTAATCACTTTCAGGCATGCTGAATATCATAACCTTACATCTTATTTTTAAATTTTACCACTACAGTTTTGTTTCCTAAGAGTGGATGTCTTCAGGAATCACTGATTTACAAGCTCTGTTGATGCTATGGCATTTACTACCCTGAATGTATTGTTTTAAACTCTGACATTACTGCCCCATAATAGTGGGTTTAAATATGCTCATGCCTTTGTTGCATTTCTAAGGAAAATATTTATAACAGATTTCAGACAATCTGTTATAAACCTTCATCTGAAAATTGAGATTAACTGCATGGTTTCTATTGTGTTTCATATCTATCCTACTGTTTACTTCAATTGCATTGCCTTAAATGCTGTTTTTAATGAAATTTAACAGAGCATATGGTTTGCATGTTCTATTGGGAAGGATGAGTTTCTAGTGGTTAGAGCAAAAGACAGAGTGGAGTCAGAACTCCAGGGTGGTTGTATTTTTCCCCTCCAGCTCTACCACTGACTTGGGGCTCAGGCCTGTTCCTACTGAAAAGAGTAGCAAAGCGCTCTCTTTGACTTCAGTGGGTGCAGGATTGGGCCCTCACAGTGTTCTTGGACAAGTCACTTATCCTTCCTTTGTCTCAGTTTATCCATCTGTAAAATAGGTGGAACAATGCTCACCTACCTCACAGGGTTGTTGTGGGGCTTAATTATTTTTAAAGTTTTTTGAGATCCTCTGACAGAGGACATTGTATAAGTACTTAGCAGTGTTATTTTATGTTAATATTTCAGTTGTTTCTAACTACCTTCAGCATGGATCCTCATATTGTATCATGCAAAGTTCTATTTTTTTTTCAGGCATCATAATCTTTCCTAGAATATTTATTTTAAAATCATGATGGATCACAAAGAAGAACTGAATGGCCCAGTTCTTAGCATAGAATTCATGACCTGACCTGCAGAAAATATTTAAAATTAAGATTCCTAAAATATTCTGTCTGATGAAGAAGGACGAGGGGAACAATATTCCTAGATCAGAAGAGGATATTACACTTTGTGATTTTAAAATTTTGTGAGTAGGAAAGAAAAAGTGGGGTTTTGTGTATTTCTAGGTTCTCCCTTTCCTATTAAGGATATACATGTATTTAATAAAAAGCATTCTTCATCCTGATAATGTACAGTATGCATAAAGCTTCATGCCAGTTTGCTTTTTGAAACCAAACTCCATATGTTTCCTATATATATATATATAATTCTAAAATCTTACAAAAATGGACAGAACATAGAAGTTGTCACACAGTGACATAAAAGATATCAAGAAAAGCCTGCATCAGTGCTTCTTTGCTAAGTAAAGCATGCTGTTTTGTTTAAAGCCCTGTGATCTTCATAATTGCTTTGATTTGTGTATCTCTCTTACAGAATTCCAGGAACATTAGGTACAGGAACGTGCTACATAACTGAACCTTTCTTGCTTATTTTACCGTGGATGTATTTTAATCTTGTATAGAGATACGCATGAAGGAGTCATGCATATGTATAAATGATGATGTATTTGACCAGTGTAAAAATAAGTTCTGTTTATGTATTTGAAATGTAAGTACTTTTTGTGCCACTAACACTGTGATGTATAAAAGAGCTGTTGAATGCCTTTTAATGTTGTGTTTTGTACTTTGAATCATACTGAAAGTTTAATTTGTAATTTCAATAGATATTTTAAAAGAATGTGTCTCCTGTGATTCTTCATAGTGGCTTGTAATTATTAATACACAATTAATACAATTAAAGAAAATTGAAATATTGTTACAGTAGTTATTTATATCATCTGCTCCTTCCATCAGAACAAAGACGAGAGAAAGCACTTGCTATGGGTCCGATCCAGTGATCGTTTCAGTCAATTGGAGTAGGCCTTAAATGGGTTAATTTGGTGCTCCAACCATTAGTTTGGAATACCTATAATTCAAAGCACCACAGGTTCAGGTCACAACAAAGTCAGCTCTGCCCATCACCTTCCCACGGTGGTGTCTATCCAGTGCCTGTGGTGTTTCACGCAATAACAAAAAATTGCCATACTCGGTCAGACTAATGGTCCATGTAGCCCAATATCCTGTCTTCTGACAGTGGCTGGTGCTAGATGCTTCAGAAGAAGTGAACAGAACAGGGCAATTTAACAAGTGCTGCATCTCCTGTCATCCAATCCCAGCCTCTAGCAGTCAGAGGTCTAGGGACACCCAGAGCATGGGGTTGCGTCCCTGACCATCTTGGCTAATAGCCATTGATGTCCTCCATGAACTTATCTAATTCTTTTATGGGCCCAGTTACACTTTTGGCCTTCAAAACATCCCCAGGCATTGAGTTCCATAGGTTGACTGTGCATTGTGTGAATTACTTCCTTATGTTTGTTTTAAACCTGCTGCCTATTCATATCATTCCGTGACCCCTGCATCGTGTTATGTGAAGGGATACCTAACACATCCTTGTTCACTTTGTTCACACCATGCATGATTTCATAGACCTCTATCATATCCCCCTTTAGTCATCTCTCCTCCAAGCTGAACAGTTGCAGTCTTTTTAATTTCTCCTAATATGGAAACTGTTCCAGACCCCTCATCATTTTTGTTGCACTTTTCTGTACTTTTTATAATTCTAATATATCTTTCTTGAGATGGGGTGACCAGAACTGCTGGCAGTATCCAAGGTGTGGGCATACAATGGATTTACATAGTGGCGTTATGATATTTTCTGTCTTTTTATCTCTCTCTCCTAATAGTTCCTAACATTTTGTTAGCTTTTTTGACTGCTGCTGCACATTGGGCAGATGTTTTCAGAGAACAATCCACAATGACTCCAAAATCTTTCTTGAGTGGTAACCGCTAATTTAGACCTCATCGTTTGTATGTATAGTTGGGATTATGTTTTCCAATGTGCATTATTTGCATTTATTAACATTAAATTTCATTTGCCATTTTTGTGAGATTCCTTTGTAACTTCGCAGTCAGTTTTGGACTTAACAGTATCTTGAGTAATTTTGTATCATCTGCAAACTTTGCCACCTCACTGTTTACCCCTTTTTCTGATCATATTATGAATATGTTGAACAGTACTGGTCTCAGTACAGATCCTTGGGGAACTCTGCTGTTTATCTCTCTCCACTGTGAAAACCATTTATTCCTATCCTTTCCTACCTTTTAACCTGTTACTGATGCATGAGAGGACCTTCCATCTTATCCCATAACTCCTTTCCTTGGTGAGGGACCTTGTGAAAGGCTTTCTGAAAGTCCAAGTACACTATATCTACTGGATCACCCTTGACCCTTGTTGGCACCCTCAAAGAATTCTATTCTATTAGATTGGTGAGGCATGATTTCCCTTTACAAAAGCTGGGTTGATTCTTCCCCAACATATCATGTTCATCTATGTGTCTGATAGTTCTGTTCT